ATATATACATCGCTTGGAACCCCCACGATGGGCCAGAGACACAATCGGCGCCGGACAAGGCCTCGCTCTCGACGACGGATGAACAACAACAACATAAACAGCTCTGCCTCGCGGCTTCAGCCGGCCGTACCTCCGCTGCCAGAGGTATACAGCTCTTCATGCTTTGCTGCTTCCTCGATCCCTCCACCCCCTGGATTGCTCCCCAGTGCTCGAAACCACTGCCATGACCGTGTGCCCTCGGCCCAACTCTGGCATAATCGGTACATGGCATGGCATGGTCGAGGCTCAGGGGCATCCTCTCCCACCCCGCAGCAGCAGCAGCAACAGCACCAGCAACGTCAAGAAGCGAGTGACAAGCTAGAGGCAGAGCAGTGCCGACTGTTTGGCGGCGAGCCCGGAGACGACGTGATGCTTTGTTTTCGCATGCTGGAGTTTTTTGGCGGTCTTGACTTTATCGAGTGAACCTCTCTTCTCGCTTTTTTTTATGTCTTCCTCTCTCTCCTCTTACTCTCCTCAACGACTCCACTTTTTCACTTCATCCTACATCCCCATAACATCTCCCATCACACGACGATGGATCGAGATTCCACGGACATACGCCCCATGACTTGCAGCAAGGACGGCCCTAGATGGGCTTCGACCTGGTCTAACTTAACGGGGATACGTTGATGTCCACCACCACCGCACATGGAGACTGGAATTCTCGACCTTGAAGGAACAAGAAACACGGCCCCCAACGCCGTCATGGCACTGGTTGGGTGCCTAGATGAGCTCGCACGCACGGCTTGAGCACTGCATGCCTTTTTTTGCTTCTGAAAGGACATATCTGAGTTCGCCTGTGTTGCTTGAGCTCCGTTTGGCACTGCTGCCTAGGCTAGGCGGTAACTCCAGGGGGGCCAAAAACCAACGACCACCACAACCAACAACCAACGGACAAACCGACTTCTTCATGATGCTGGCCATCATCGATCCAATAACGTGATGACGAACGATGTGCTCTCTTTCACTTTTCTTTTGTGTGTTCATTTTTGCATACCCCTTCCATTCGTTGGGGTTGGGTTACGGCAAGCATGCATGCATTCTATGGGGGGGTTTTTTAACGACATGTACATTCTAAATAGCCAAATTGGAAAAAACGGCAAAGGCAAAGGGCAAGGCAGGGGGGAGTCATGGGTTGGTATCTCTTCGGTTTAAACAAAAAAGAAAAAAGACTGTATATAAGTAGGATTCAAATCACAGCAAGCTATACTCTTCTTGCAATCGTCCTCAGCGATCGGGGTAAATATGGCCCCAGATCATCGTATATCTCCAGGCCGTCTCGGAGGGATCGGCCGCTGCCCTGGGTAGTTAATTGGCTGTCTTGCTATTTATAAGTGTGGCGGCCTGATCGGCTCGAGCCGGCCATGACGTGGAATCAGCGCTAAAGACAGGTAGAGACAGGTGAGACCTTGTTGAAACACCGGAAGCCTGCGATTCTCCAGCTAAACCTCAGTAAACCTCAGTTAAAGCGAGTATCTCTCCAGTTAAAGCCAGTTAAAGACTCGGTTAAAGATTAGTTAAAGGCCGCCGCTTTCCAGTTAAAGCTTTAGCTAAAGGTTAGTTAAAAGCAGGCGGGCGACCCGCTTAGTCATCACCTAACCGCCCGACTTTCTTCTGCGACTTTCGACGCCACAAGCAGCAGAGCCAGCAGAGCCAGCAGAACAAGCGGGAGACGAAGACGAAGACGAAGACGAAGGATAAAGACATCGAGAGAGACCGCGAGACACAAGGACCAGACGACCAGACGACCAGCAGGCGATGTCGACTCGCTGAGATGCGACTATCCGCGCCGTCCCGCTTCACCACCTCCGTCCGGCCCAGGTCGACCCAGCCCAAGTCCAAGGCTGCCGCCTCCACAACCACAACCACAACCACTACAACTACAACTACAACTACGCCTACAACGACGCCATCGCCCACACCCACGCCGACTCCAACACTGTCGAGATCGAGCTCACGACCGCGAGAGCAGCTGTCTCACTACCGCCTCCTCTTCAACAATGTCCGCCCGCAGCTGACTGACGACCAGTTCGCAAAGATGAGACACCAGGAGCCCGTTCAGCTGCCCTTCGACACCGCCGGCAATGGGCCCGTTGGTATCCCAGACGGCCCTCCTGGCGCCGGCGAGGGCAGCGATGGCACCGGCAGAGGCATCCTGATCGGCCTGCTGTCAGCCTTTGGCTCGGCCGGAGTCGCCCTGCTGGTGCTCGCCCTCTTCTTCTTCAGATACACCCAGCGAGGCCGCATCCTGCTCGACCGCATCGGCCGGCCGGGCGAGTACGACGACGAGCAGGAGTTCGCCCGCGAAGAGGCAGAGGCCCTCGAGTCCATGGACGAGCTGCAGGCTGCCGAGTACTTCAGAGCAAAAGGTTTGGTTTTCTACTTCTTGTGTTGACTGCTATTTACTTGCTTGTGTTCTGATGCTAACTACGGACGAAACACACAGCCTTCGTTCAGGCAAACCCGCCAGAGACAATGCAGACCGATATATCGCTCTCCCAGTTCCTTGCGATCCAGGAAAAGGGCGTGTCGGCATGGGAGTTTGAGCCGGAGCTTGAGATTGCCAACTGCTTTGTCGAGGGACGCACCGAGATCGAGTTCTTCGACTCCGAGTGTGGCGTCCAGAGCAACCTGCCTGTCCCGAAGCAGAATGACGTTTACTACTGGGAGGCGAAGATTTACGACAAACCGGAGACCACGCTCATCAGCATCGGCATGACTACCAAGCCCTATCCGCTTTTTAGACTGCCCGGTTACGTTTTTTTTTTTTTTTCCTTTCTTTCGTTTGCATCCAGTTTGCTCCGTACACTAATGCTAATGGGGGTATCGGGGTTAGGCTTCCACAAGTCATCGGTTGCGTATCAATCTACCGGCCATAGGAGACACAACCAGCCCTTCAATCCAACGCCCTACGCACCGCCGTATGTCCAGGGTGACGTTGTAGGCGTGGGCTACCGACCTCGCAGCGGAACCATCTTCTTCACTCGCAACGGCAAGAAACTCGACGATGTAGCCCACGGCCTTCGGTCGCAGAACTTCTTCCCTACTGTTGGTGCCAACGGGCCGGCTACCGTGCACGTCAACTTCGGCCAGATGGGCTTCGTCTTCATCGAGGCCAACGTCAAGAAATGGGGTCTTGCGCCCATGACCGGAAGCCTGGCTCCTCCGCCACCATACGGCAGCGAGCAGGGAAGCATTCTTCTCGAGGCCGGAGGCGAGAGCTCAATCGCGGCCCAGGAAGCTGCCGGTCACAGCCATCATCTCCACGGTCACCAGATGCACGGTTCTACCACTGCACCTGTACAGCAATGGTGGCATCCAGAGTACATCCAACACCACGCCCAACATGCTCATCAGGTACTGCAGCACCAGCGTCAACAGCAGCAGCAGCAACAACAGCAGCAACAGCAGCAACAGTCGCAAACGCATGCACGAACCCGCAGTGGGACGGTACGAGGACACAGTCTGCATCCATCCGCTCAGGCGCCGTCTGCACCCGTCCGGACACCAACAGACATCTCCCTAGGTCCCTTGCCTCATATAGCCTCGCCATCAGCCTCCTCGACTGCTGGGGCTGCAGCTGCTTCACCCTCGACCGTCACTTCAGACGCCCCCGCTGGTTCCGAGACGTCTGAGGCCACGACCGTTGTTCTGGTAGGCAATAATGGCAACAACAGCAACAGCAACAACAACAGCTACAGCGCCAGCAACAACCGTCCTCCGCTCGATGACGTTCCTCCACCAGAATACCGTAGCCCAGGTCACTCGCCGCCGTGCGGCCAGGCCGGAGGTCCCCCAGGCGAGGTCCCGCCTATACCAAGCTACGATGCAGCAGTTCGTCAGTCCAGGGAACGAGACGGCCCACGAGATCAAAACGACTCTTGATATATCCTCCTCTGCTTTTTGTGACTTTTTTTTTTCCCGTTTGCTTTCTGCTTTGGTCATCTGTCTGCTTTTTATATTTTTGCTCCCCTTTTTCTCCTCTGCTTTATATCCCTATCAAATCTATGCTCGTTTATTCCCCTGCAAATTAGCGACTCATTCGATCTGGACGGAACACGGTGTGGTACGGGTGCGGTCTCCTTCTCGGTGCTGGTGCGGTCTCTTTTTCCATCTGATATTTCCTATGCTCTGTTCTTGTTGTTCAAAGTCTGCTTGCTCTTTCTACACGGCGTTTCCCGCCCGTCCTGGTCCCTTCTCTCGCTCCTATTTTTCCCTTTTGACATTCTTGACTCTTCCTCCCT